GAGTGCCGCCGGAGACGACCCCCCACAAGGCTTGGGGCCCCGCCCCGGTAGCGCCCCGAAAGTCTGCGCATGCGTGGGCCAGACGGGGCTAGAACCTGGCTCGAGGTGTTACGCATGCGCCAAAGTGGCATTTAGAGGAGGGGTGAGAATTGACCTGGGAGTTGGTCCCCCTTCCCCGCCGCCAGCCTGTGGGGGTTAAACCTAGGCTACGAGAGCGTCGGGGTTCACTTGGTTCTTTGAATTGCAGAGCTGATTTCACCACTACTCCTATCCCGAGCCCCTGAGACAGACCTGGATCGGTCCCCCTCCTTGAGTGTGCACTTAGCGGGGGATGGAGGAGCGGAGGGCTGAGGAAAGAAGGGTTCTCAGACCTTCTTTAGCCTGCCAGTGGGATCAGGCCCCTTCGCTTCTTGACACTGGTGTCAAGATAACCTTCAGGTGTCAAAATAACTAGGATCCTGCGGAGCAGCACGACATGGTGCACCTGGGGCAGAATCAGGACACCGTGCTATTAGACACTTTGGTCAGAATCTGAGGGACCGGCAAATGGAGTGTCCCAGATAGTCCAGTGCCTGAGGTCTCAGCAGTTAGGAGTGTCTCCATCCCCAGAGCAGCTGATACGCAGTTCCCAAACTGCGTTTTTGATATTGCTCCCACAACATATCACCTACTAAGTCATAATTAAATGCAAATGGAAAGGAACAACAAACGAATCAGAGGGACTGGTTGGCACAGAGGGACTGGTTGGCGTTTTCTGTCCCTTTGCTTTTGCCTGTTTTGCCTTGGGAGGGGAAGGGTGAGGCTGCTGCACTCAGAGACAGCAGAGGAGGAGCCAGAGCCAAGAATCCCTTATCAGGTGCTAGGTTATAGTCTGGCTCTTAACCTAGGAGTAAATAGAATTAGAGGTCTGTGAACCTCCTGAAATAATAGGTGTTCATACATTTCGGTGGAATCTGTAACTTTCGTTATTTTCACTGACCTTCATAGGGCTACTGGTTTCTAAGGATAATAATTGTCAGAGTAGAGCCTTGTGCTTCTTCCCCTTCTTTGTATCTTCCCTAATTTATGGGACTCTGGGGGACCTGTGCCAGTGTCGGAGATCAGGCTGGTGAGTTGCAGACCTGAGCCTCAGGGACTCTCATCTCTCCTTCGCAGAATCTCCTCTCAGCCTCTAAGCTTACCTGGTCTGAATCCTTGGATGAGCCTGTGGGACCCTTCCTTCTAGCCCTGTGGTCTGGAACCAGTGGCTCTGGGACTATAAGAGGATGGACAAAGGTAGTATGAGGCCGGGCCAACCCCTCCAGTGCTTGAGTGCCAAGCATCTACTGACTCCACCCCGTGCCTGGTGCATGCATGTGCCTTTCAGTCCTGGCTGAGCATTGCCACCTCCCCCTGGGCCAACACCACCCATGTACCCCTTGTCAGAGCCACAATTGTCTGACTTGTGTTGAGCTGATGCCCTTTGGCATGGCTGCATTTTGATGGCAGAGGGCACAGTTATGCCCAGAGCTGGGTGTGTCAGCATCACCAGTCTGACCTGAGCCCCTTGTGCTACACGATGTGACAACACCTGGAAGACCACCCAGCATGCAAGGTCTGGGCCAGATCTGAGCTCAGATGTATCTGGATAGCCAAGGAACTCTCCCCTTAAAACCTGAAGTGTCAGGGAACCAGCAGTTAGCATAATGGCTATGTCGCTGGACTCCCACATAGTTGACCACGGTTCGAGTTCCGGACCCGATGGCTTAAACTCATGCCGGGTGCATGTGCGTGCGTGCCCAAGATCCCGAGAGGAGAATGGAGGAGAAGGGATTGCGGTGTGACCATCCCCCTGGGGGGTGATTTCTCGCTTTCTGTCTCTATGTCTCTCTCTGTCTGTCTGGCGAGCGCACGCACCCTATAACGAAAATCTCTCTCAAAACAAAACAAAACAAACCCTCAAGTGTCAGAAGGCAGGAGAGGAGCCCGGAGGGCTGGCAGGAGAAGAGGAGGCAGCAGAAGGGTCCCATGTGTAGAAGCTGTAGGCCTTGCTTGGCACTTAGGAGGTCCAAGTTCACCATTTCTTGCTTTCTAGATTCTCAGGGGCTGCTAGATTCATCCCTGATGGCATCGGGCACTGCCAGCCGCTCAGAGGACGAGGAGTCGCTGGCAGGGCAGAAGCGAGCCTCCTCCCAGGCCTTAGGCACCATCCCTAAGCGGAGAAGCTCTTCCAGGTAGTAAGGGTTTGGAGGGCCAAGGACTGGGAATGGAAGAAATGTCTGTGGCCTTAGGTGCTACATGTGTTCACCTCGGTTGGGAATGGCCACCGGAGTCCCTTTAGGATAGAACCTTGTACTTTTGCTGTCCTTACCAAATCTCTCCTGGTGGGACGGGGGCAGGGGAGTGGATTGTAGGTCTTGGAGTGATTTTTGTGGCATATTCCCTGTCATCTCAGAGGGCTGGAGTACAGCAGCCCTGAGCCCAGCTCTGGTGTAAAGTGAAAGCTGCCAGAGCAGTGGGCACCCTGCGGGGAGCCTGATCTGTTCTATTGAGTGTGTGTGAATGGTCACTGGGGAGGGGAAAGTAGTGCTCACTGGGCAGGACTGTCCGCAGGTTCATCAAGAGGAAGAAATTTGATGATGAGCTGGTGGAGAGCAGCCTGGCCAAGTCCTCTACTCGGGCGAAGGGGGCCAGTGGGGTGGAACCAGGGCGCTGTTCGGGAAGTGAACCCTCCTCCAGTGAGAAGAAGAAGGTGAGGGATCAGGAGATGCCAGGGGTAGGGGCAGCACCAGATTTCTTGTTTCCCAGTAGTCCTGCAGAGGAGGCTTGTGAGAGGACCAAGGTGCCCTAGCACCAAGCTCAGATGCCTCCCTCCTGGGAGCCCATCTCTCCCTATTCCCCCTTTCTTGCTGCACCACCACCACCCCACCCCACCCCCCGCCCTGCCAGTGCATCCTGTATCACATTCCATGTGGGAGGCATGGAGCGTGTATCTATTCTGGGAGCAGACAGCCTGTTCCCAGCATTGCAGGGTGTAAAAATAACCCCCAGGTGGTATTGCTGTGGCCCCAGACAGTGCACCAGCAAGTGTTTTCCTGGTGTCCTCCCCACCCACCATCTACTCTGGGGTTGGGGGTGCACCAGCATAGAAAAGACCCCATATGGTCAAGGCCTCTGTAGCAGTAATGTGGCGAGGGCGGGGTAGGTATTAGAAAGCTGAGCTCCTTGCTAATGCTTCCTGTTGTGGGCTGGGGCTAGGGCTGCCACAGAGTGTGTAAAGTGCCAGGCCTGAAGCCCAAGCTGCTGACTTTGGGCTCACTCTGTTCCTGTCCTCTGCCCAGGTGTCCAAAGCCCCCAGCACTCCCGTACCACCTAGCCCAGCCCCAGCCCCTGGACTCACCAAGCGTGTGAAGAAGAGCAAACAGCCTCTTCAGGTGACCAAGGATCTGGGCCGCTGGAAGCCTGCGGATGACCTCCTGCTCATCAATGCTGTGTTGCAGGTAGTGCTTTTCCCACCACAGGCTTACTGCCTCCCCTATCCCCAGTCTCCGATTCCTAGTCCACAGACCGGCCTATCAGGGCCCCAAGGGTGGCAGGGAAGGTTCCTCTCAGCTCTGAGGCTAAAACAAACCCTTCTGGGACCTTATAGACCAACGACCTGACATCTGTCCACCTGGGTGTGAAGTTCAGCTGCCGCTTTACTCTTCGGGAAGTCCAGGAGCGCTGGTACGCCTTGCTCTACGATCCTGTCATCTCCAAGTGAGTGAAGCTGCCTCCAGTGGAGAGGTACTGGGGACACCAGAATTTGGCTCCTGGAGCAGAGAATTGTGTAGGGCTCAAGAGATGGGCCTGGGAGGCAGGCCTCTAGGGCCTTGCATCCTCTGGGATGGTACTAAGACCTGTCAGTTTTCATAGGGAAGCTGCTTCCTACCTCCAACCCTGCTAGTCCTGGCTTGATGCCAGAAGCAAGAGAGTCTGAACGCAGAGGAAGTAGCATGAGAGAAAACACCCCAGCAGGTGCCAGGAGCCTTGCTTCCACTATGTGCATTGTGTCTCTGAGCAGGGCTCCTCCTAGCCTTTCCACACTGACCTCCCAGAAGTTTCTTTCGTATGTGGATGAGGATGGATCAGAAGAATACCAAGGCCTCTTTTGGCTCCAACAGCCAGGGTTCCAAGTAAACCTGTGCGCGCACACAGTGCATCTCCTCCTGAGCTTCTTAGTGTAATGTCTTCAGAGCTTGGTTGGATGCTTAACAGCATCTTACTCTGTTGATTGTTTAATTGTCAGAAGACACATGCGGTCACCAGAGAAAAAGAAAGAAAATACACCCCAAGATGGGGCGTGGTCACACTGCAGTCCCTTTTCTTTCCTTTCTCCATCCCGTCAGGATTTTGGGCATGCACGCACATGCACTTGGTATATTTTTCAAGCCACCGGGGCTGGCATTTGCACCAGGGTCAGCCATGAGAGATGTAGTTCCCTGTACACACTGTTTAACCTCTGTGCTTCAGGATTGACCCCTTACTGTCTTCTCCACACTCCCTGGCACCACTTAAGCTATAGCCACAGTCTTGATACACCAGGAAACGGGCCAGGCTTAGCTTGGGAAGGAAGTTGTGGACCGTGGTTAGCAGTGGCAGCTTTGGCCAAATAAGGAGGAAGGGTTGGGAGGGAGCAGCCACTGGTCTAAGACCTGCCTTAAGACTGAGCCTTTAGGGGACATTGGTGCCTCAGTTCTAGAGTGCCTTTTCATTTCATTTGATGCCTGTGAAGCCCAGGTGCTAAGCCTTGGCCTTTTCATGTTCAGGGCCTGACCTCTAGGTGACCTCTAGGTTTTAGATCTCAAAGATGGTTTGGGGGGAAGGTTGCTTGATGCCCACCCTTCACCTGTGCCTTCTGTCTCTTCCCATGCCCAGGTTGGCCTGCCAGGCCATGAGGCAGCTGCACCCAGAGGCCATTGCAGCCATCCAGAGCAAGGCCCTGTTTAGCAAGGCTGAGGAGCAGCTACTGAGCAAAGTGGGATCGGTAAGGCTGAGGGCTGGGAAGGTTGAGGAACAGGTGAACGTTAGACCGTCTGACAAAACAATTGATGTGAGGAACTCCCGGCCCCGTGCCACACTATACCCACTGTCTGGACATGCATCTGCAGGGGTCTTTGTGACAGGGTCTTCAGGAGAAGCCAAGCCTGGTTCCCTGGGCAACTATCGCCTCTTCCAACTCTTCGGGGCTGGGGCGGTGGTGGATCTGGGCCAGGGGTCAAGGATGGCAGGGCAGAGGGGAGAGAGAAAATCCAACTGCTTGCCCTCTAGGCCAGTCAGCCCACCTTGGAGACCTTCCAGGACCTGCTACACAGACACCCTGATGCCTTCTACCTGGCCCGTACTGCCAAGGCGCTGCAGGCCCACTGGCAGCTCATGAAGCAATATTATCTGCTGGAGGACCAGACAGGTAACGCCCCAGGGGCTGGCAGAACGGATGCACAGGCATGTGGAGTGCTTTGGGTACAGCTGCCCTGCAGCGCCCTATAACTGATTCCTCGGTAGTCCCCAGTGTCTTGTTTGCCTCACTTTGCAACCAAACATCTTCCTTCCAGAGGGAGAGAAGGTAGCTAGAATGGTCTTCAGCTTCGTGGTAGGGGTAGCCAGCATTGCCCAGAGCCAGAGGCAGAAGTCATATAGCAGCATTGTCTGCCACTTGTTTGTATTTTGGGGTTTTTTTTCCTGACGTATTTTACCGTCACATAAATAATACATTAATGTTTTCAAATACGGGTAACATTCAGACATAAACATGGCCCCCACACTACTCACTTTTCCCTTTGTTCCTGCCCTACAGATGACCACTGTACGCTTTCTCTCCTCTACCTCTCTCCACTCCTCCTCCCTCCTCTCCTCTTCCCATCAGGAAGGCGTCAGGCTGCCCTCAGGCCACTCAGAAATCCCCAGTGGGACTCTGCACCCAGTCGGTCTGTCTTTCCTCTTCCCCAAGGGCCAGAATGCTCTGTTTCCTCTCTCCCTTCATCAACGAAACTCTCATTCTCCTGGTGACAGGTATTGGGAGAGCAGTCCATCCAGCCACAAGAACTCTTGAGTGAGGCCTGTGGTTCGGGCTGCATTTGCTCCGTAGGAGGAGCGCGCCCTTCCCAAACGTTACTGCCATTGTCCACGGCGGAGCTTTCCATACTGTTCTGAAAGTGAAGCTTCGGCTGTGCCCTTCACTGTTACGGAGTCCTGCAGCTTCTGGTTAGGAAAAGCTATTCCTACGGGAGCATTCAGAAAACCTGCTTATCAGAGAGAGGCCCATCTTTCCTTCCTCTGGACGTCTGATTTGGGGGGGCAGGGAGTGGCTTTCTGCATTCCAAAACTGCTGCTTCCCCAGACTCCAATGTCACTGAATTCCCACAGGGAGAACAAACACCAGATAAGGTTTATTTTTAATGCTAAAGCTAACTCCTTTGTCACTATTTTAGAAGTTATTTTGTGTAAATTCCCTTGTTAGCAGAAGCCTTTACTGTAAAGGTTTACTTTGTCTTTTGGTTTCTCCCTTGCCGTTTATTGCTGGGAGTCCCTAGGACCTGGTGGTGTGTACTGTCCAGACTTCAGGCCAGTTGATGGAATTTCAGGCAGCTTGGTAGGGCAGGCGCCTGATGGGATGACTGTCCCAATCTCCTGTCCCCTCTGACATTAGAGGGTGGATGAAAAGGAGCACCCTAACTTCCCAGGCTGCCAGCTGCAGGGCTGCCAGCTGCTGTAGGTACACTGTAGTCCTGGGTGTTGCCAGGACCAAAGGCAGGCGTTCTTAGTTCTGTTTTGTTTTTCTTTTTCTTTTGTTTGTTGGCACTAATCTCTTTGCATTTTGGCCAGGGGAAAAAAATTTTTAAATTCCATGGAGCAGTTTTTAGCCTGAACTTATGTATGGGCTCTGATGTTAATTATCCTATCGAAAAAGGAAAACTAATTTCATGACCCATTAGCAGGTCAAGACCCACATATTAAAAAACGTATTAAGGTGGAGCCACTTTCCACTGCTCCTACTTTCTAAATAGCCTAGACTGGCGTGTAGCTCTCAGCCCCTCATGGACGTGGTGGCAGGCGCTGGGAGCGGGTGGTGTGCTGGAAGGAGGGGTTCGGATCTGGAATCAGGAGAGCAGAACGTTTTGCCTGCTCCCTGGATCTGTTTTTGTCTAGAGTGGAGTTAATAGTGGTGCCTTCCCACTTACTTCAAGGCTGTGTATCCAGCAGCCCTTCGCAGTGAAACGCCCATAGAAAAGGTCAGTTTTAATTTCTGTCCTTTTCTAGAACCACTTCTGCCCTCAGCTGAGCCAGGGTGCTCCATGTCAGATGAGGGCAGTCTGATCTCCTATGCCCTCCTCCTGTAGCCCTCCACCTGTCATGTTCTCCTGTTTGTCCACTCTGCAGCTTGTGCCCACGTGGGGCCCTCGTTGCTCACCCTTCTGTTGTCTGTTCAGTGCAGCCGCTGCCCAAGGGGGACCAGGTGCTGAACTTCTCCGATGCAGAAGACCTGATTGATGACAGTAAGCTCAAGTGAGTGGCCAAAGCCAAGGCAGGGGTGGGGAGAGCCGAGTCTCCCCTCCGGTGGAGCACCCCTGAGCCAACTCTGTCTTCCACTCCAGATTAGCTGTTGGTACTTGGTCTCCCCTCCCCTCCCTTTCCCTCCCCTTCCCTTCCCTGGGGCCCTCTCAGGCTCATTGCCTTACCTGCCTTACCTTTATCCCCTTCTAGGCCACTTGGCTAAAGGGGCTCAGGGACACTCGAATGAGTCAAGTGCAGGTGGGCTGAAAGTTCTTCCTCTCTTCTTGTTCCTCAGGGACATGCGGGATGAGGTTCTGGAACATGGTAAGTGTGCCCTAGTGGGGACAGGGAGGGGTGGAGTGGGCAGGAGAGGACCAGCACAAAGTGCCTCCTTACCACCCTGCCTCACCCCAGAGCTGACAGTGGCTGACCGGCGCCAGAAGCGAGAGATTCGGCAGCTGGAGCAGGAGCTGCATAAGTGGCAGGTGCTGGTGGACAGCATCACGGGTGAGGAGGCCGGGGACGGGAGGCACTCTTGGCAGCATCCTTTTCCCAACCCCTCCCCTAGCCCCCGGTGTTGCCCAGCCAGGCACACCCTCACACCCGCCTTTCCCAGCCCTTGCCCTGGTTCCCTGCGTTCCACTCCTGACCCAGCTGTTCCCCTAGGCATGAGCTCTCCAGACTTCGACAACCAGACGCTGGCTGTGCTGCGGGGCCGCATGGTGCGGTACCTGATGCGCTCACGAGAGGTGAGGCAGGCCCCCTGCACCCACCCTTCCCAGGCAGCTGCCCCTCTGTCACCGTGCTGTCTCTGATTTCTCATCTTCCCCTGGCCTGCGTGGACCCTGTCCCCCACTCTTCAGGTCCCAGCCCTCACCTGCTCCATTTCCCCAGATCACCCTGGGCAGAGCAACCAAGGATAATCAGATCGATGTGGACCTGTCTCTGGAGGGTCCAGCCTGGAAGATCTCCCGGAAGCAAGGTACCCCACACCTCCACCTCATCAGGAAGGAGCATGAGGGTGTCCCTCCCAGCCCCTCACTGCCCTTCCCAGCCCCAGGGCTTGGTGTCTCTGGGCATACTCAGCCAGCTGAGGCAGGGGTGCAGGAGGCAGCATTCCAGGGTCTCTAGCTGGCAGCCCTGAGTGCCTCGGCACCTGTCCCAGGAAGCACAGGTAGTCCACAGAGGCTAGTGGCTGCCTTACGGGCCTTCTCCAGCCCGTCCTTGTCCACTGTGCTTCCTCAGGTGTCATCAAGTTGAAGAACAATGGTGATTTCTTCATTGCTAATGAGGGCCGGAGGCCCATCTACATCGACGGGCGGCCTGTGCTGTGTGGCTCCAAGTGGCGCCTCAGCAACAACTCTGTGGTGGAGGTGAGCCGGAGGGGAGGTAGGAAGACCAGCGTGAGACCTGGGTGTGTAGAGCCGGTACATGGGCTGGCCCATCCCACCTCTGAGCCACTTTGCCCTTCCACCCAGATCGCCAGCCTGCGATTCGTCTTCCTCATCAACCAGGACCTCATCGCCCTCATCCGGGCCGAGGCTGCCAAGATCACAGCGCAGTGAGGAGTGGGAGTAGGACCGCTGCACTCTCTCTGGCCTCAGCTCCTCCTGAACCGAGAACTCGGGCTCCTGGAGGAACCTGCCCAGAGCAGGCAGTAGGAGGCCCAGTGCTGGCTCCTGGATTTGAGCCTTTGAAGAAGGCTGGGCTGGGCCATTGGGAAGCTGGGAGAGGCTGGGACCCCTGGGCTTCCCATAGCAGAGCAGAGCCCCCTCCTCCTCCTCTCTGCAAACTGTCCCCTGCCCCATGTTGCCACCTTCACTCCTGTGTCTCCAGCTGATTAGCTCCAGACTTTTCCTTTATTGTTTTTCTTTTGTAAATAAAAAGCACTGAGTTCCAAAGTAATTTATTTTTAAAATTTTTTTTAATATAAAAAATGTGGAGATGGGTAGAGGCTGGGGCACATGCAAGGGATGGCAGAGCCCATCCTTGTCCTCAGGCCTCTCCCCAGCCTGCAAGGGAGACAGGAGGTCAGAGGAGTCGGCCAAGGAGGGACCCTGGAATAGGGGCCAGCCGAGGCTCTTGCCCACTCTCTGTGAGAGTCTGGGCCAGGCCCCCTTTGCTGACAGGCTCCTGCCCTGAGCAGTGAGGAGTCCGGGGTGGCTGCCGCCCTCCTCCACCCTGAGGTCGAGCGGAGCAGCAGATAGATGGCAGCATGTCTGGCAACACTGAGTGCCGGGGCTGGCGGTCAGACCCCTGTGCCTTCCTCCTGGGTCCACTGGACCGTGCCAGAGCCGTGGCAGCCAATAAGCACCATCTCTAGGCTGTGGGGGTCCCAGGGCAAGGCCAGGCCCCCTGACCCTGGTGGAGGTTCTCCGGTGCTGGTAGCCTCAGCCTGGCTCATGGGCTCTGGGGGCCCAGTCCTAGCCCCTTCTTCAGAAGGAGGAGGTGAGGCTGGGGTGCTATGCTCAGAGCAGAGTTCTCCTGAGCCAGGGGGCTCCGAGTCTGAGGTGGAGGTCCAGAAAGCTGCAGCTCGAGGCCAAGGGGAACTCTGAGATGCCGGGGGGCCCCAAGGCCAGGGTGCCATGAGAGGAGGGGGTCCTGGACGAGGGTGGGGCCAGGTCCCACTCAAGGCAGAGCCAGCTGGGGGCTGCAGGCAGTAGGAGGATGCCCCAGTGTCCACACACAGAGGCTGCAGGAGCCCAGAGGCGCTGGCTGGACACGGCCCCTCTCCTGACGCCTGAGGGCACGGGCCCTCACTGTGGGGCGCCAGAACCAGCTGCACAGCCTGGCGAAGTGACTGCAGTCCCTCCCGCATCTGCAACACCTGCTCGGACAGCTCCGTCACCTTTGAAGAGAGGCGAGGTCAGAGGGGTCAGCCGCCGCACGCAGCAGTGCCTCGCCCCTCCTTGCCTCCACCCTGCCCCTCACCCACCGCCTGCCGGAGCTTGTCCAGTGTGTCTGTGTTCCTTGCCTCGCTGGGCCCCACGGGGACGGTGAGCAGGCCACTCTCTGGAAGTAGGAGGGGGTTATCAGTCGGGACTAGCAAGAGGAGACAGTTTGGGGTCCAGACCTGACCAGCTGCAACAGACCACAGTGACCTGCAGGACCTGGCTCCAACAACCGTCACTTCTAGCCTGGTCCGAAGATGTCAGGTTTGCCTAAACTGCCAGAGGCAAGGAAAAGACCTCCTAGCAGCCCTCGGCCTTCCTGCCCAGCACGCTCTTCGCCCTCAGGTAGTTGCTCTTTGCGCCTGTCCTTTGCTCTGTCCTAGGGAAATGGACATTCCTGGGATTGCATTACCTTGTCCACTTCCCAGGGCTCGGGCCTGGAGCCACTTTCAACTCTGGTTCCCAGCGCACCCCCACCACGAGACAGGCGTGCTAAAGGTTTTAGTGACATCTCCTAACTTGGATCCCAGCAACCCGTTTCACAGAACACCGGGGTCAGAGAAGCCAAGTTCACACTGCTAGAAGGCTGTGAACTCAGTTCCCAGCGTCACCTAACACCATGGTGTTGGTCTTAACCCCCAAACACCCCTGCCCAAATGGCGCAGAGGTGTGAGAGCAAGAGAGTCTCCAGGCAGTCTATCCCCTGCTAGCTTTTCTGCCACGGCAGCTCAGGCTGCAGGTCTTGAGATTCCCAGGCCAGAGGCAGCCCGCCAACCTACTCCATCCCTGGGCCCCAGTACCTGGTCCTGGGGAGGGGCTGCTGCTACATTCGGGGCCAGGCTGTCCCACACGGAAAGAGAACTTGGGTTGGTCAGAGCCACAGCCATCCTCAATGCCATCTACCACCCTGTGGACACAGGTGCCGTCAATAAATTAGCAGCAGCCCTGTGCTGTTACACAGCCAAGACACGCTCCAGCACACAGGCCGCAGGAGCCCGGAGCTGGCTGGGAGTCCTGGGGGAAAGAGAAAGCTAGCACGTGGTCCTTTCCCCCGGGAGCTTGCAGCTAGCTGAGGAGCAAGGCTTGAGCAATACAGAACAGCAAGAGATCGGAGGAGGGTATGCCTGCATCAAACAGGGACAGGACAGCAGGAGGATGGAGAAGTCAAGAAAGGCATCCTGGAAGAGGCAGATTTGAACCATAAGGCTGAGAAGAGTTAAGATGAAGGATGTGCGTCTTGGGCCAGGGCGTGTTCTTGGCTGGGGCCTCAGCCTTATCTCCATGAACCCACTCACCTAGGACTCAGATCTGGGGGCACGTTCCATGTCATAGGAGGCAGCCGCAGCCCCTCCAGGGTCCGTGGGTGAGCAGAGGGGCCAGTCTCGGCCTTCAGAGCCCCTGCCCTGCCTGGCCGTCCTCTGCCACCTAGACGTGGCCTGGGTGCAGTTCGACGTGGAGACAGCAGCTTGGCAGCTGATGAGGAGGAGGTGCAGCCAGGGGAGAGCAGGGGACTGGAGGGCTCATCAGCGGTGGCCGGCGAGGCTGTGGGGCCTGGCTCCCCGTCTGTCTCTTTCTCCTCCAAGGTGGACATAAGGGTGTTGTCACCACTCAGAGAGCTGGTATCCACCTGGGGACAGCGGGCAACAAGGAATCAACATGGATGGCCACTGCTGTGCCCCACAGCCCCCCACCTCAGGGCCGCCCCGCCCCCAGGCTGAGCTGGCTGTTAGTGTACCCGGTGTCTGTCAGCTCGGAGGGTGCCTGCTCTTCTGCTGCCACCACAAAGCCACCAAGCCCTGGAAGCAGTCACTGTCCCTCAAAATTCTAATGTAGACATCACCCCTCTACTTGGTCCCCCCAAAAATACAGTACTAAAAACTGTTTTGGAATTAGTGGCATAACCCAGAAAAATCCCAAAGTCCTCCGGAACAGCCCTGTTTCCCCATGAAACAGCAGCAGACACAGGACTGCTGATTAGAAGCAGCCTGGAGGGCTAGTCCCTGGCCATGCCCACCCCTGACTCCGGACAGCCACCCCTCCAGCCACGGCCTGCAGGCTTCTTGCCACTGCAGACTCGGCTTCCTTCACTTGGGACTTCACTCTGGACGGGGCCAGGCTGTCTAGGATGGGCTGAGGTGGTGGCTGAGCGCGGCTGGGCGGGGTTCTAATACAGTGTGTGCTGCAGAAGGGCAGGCGGAGTGCAGACCTTGTTCCATGTGTGGGGCAGTGTGTGTGTGGGGGGGCTTATGCATTGGGTCATGCCTCATGCAGCACTCCACTATCCCCAGCCTCTGCCGCCCCGCCAGCCCCTCACCTCTGCAGGACCTCCCCCAGCACCCAGGTTGTAGCTGAGCTCCCCTCGGAGGCCGCGACTGAAGCGCGGGGCAAACTCAGGGTACAAGGCGAGGCTCTCGTGCAGCCCGGCCAGCTGCAGACACTGCAGGACGCAGTAAGTCAGCCCCTTCACATCGGCATTGGCCTTTACCACCTGCTCCCGCTGGGGCAGCTCACAGCCAATCAGATCGCCCTTCCCTGGAGAGAGGAAGAGGGGCCAGTAAGCCATGACCGTCAGCCACTCGGAGAGGGGAAGTGGCCAGGAGGCTCTGAGCTTCTCCCCAGAGCTGAGCCGGGTCTTTTCTGCTGAGACCCCACAGTGAAACCTTCAGGCCAGGGCAGGGAGGTCTGGGCCAAGGCCTGACCTCTGCCGCCTGCCTCACCGGCTCCCCACTCTGAGTGAAACACTATGACCAGCCTCTCAAACACGCTCAGGGTCACAACCACCATGCAGAGTGCACAGGATTTTAGCTCGAAGGAGATGGAACAGTCACGGAGAGCAGGCTCACAGACGGGCTGCTGATTAGACCCACTGGGAAAGTGATCTGCTCACGGGAGGGAGGGAGAGCCACGCAACGCCCACCCCTTCCCCACTACATCCCAGTACCCACAAAGGCCCTACCAGCTGACTGTAACAGCCCCATGGATGGCTCTGAAGCCCTTCTATACAAGAGCTGCTGTGTTTAACTGAGTCTATGGCGTTCTCTCGGTCTTACCAGACGGTATCAAGAGAGGGTTTTCCCCAGCCAGGTTGAGACTGCCACCTGGCTGACAGCGATTGTAAGGTGGCATCAATTATGGTCTACAGCCCAATCTCAGAGGTGTTAAATTGTGGGGGGAGGGGAGATGGATGTCTTAAAGTCCCTAAAACAGAGTGCTGGCATCCTGAGGCATGGCGAGGATGGACCGAGTTCACGTAAGTGTTTGCTATGGAGACAGGAACATCAATTAATTTCCTTCCGACCAGCGTCCCCTAGAGATCATTCCCGACAGGGACAGGCATGTAATTTGGGCACGCAACCTCATGAGATTCTAAAGTGTCTCCTCCTTAAGGACAAAGATGGGGACCAATAGTTGGCATAGTGGTTGCATCGCCACATAGTCGACCATGGTTTGAGTCCAGACTCAGCGGCTTAAGCTCACGCCGGGCACGTGTGCGTGAGTGCCCAAAATCCCAAGAGGAGCCTGGAGGAGAAGGAATTGCATGGCCATCCCACTTGGGAGTTTTCTCGCTGTCTCTGTCTCTCTCTCTCTTTGGCGAACACATGTGCCCTATGGCAAAAAACCTCTCTTAAAAAAAAAAGGACAAAGGTGGATGGGCCCAGTCACAGTGACGCTAGCAGGAGGGCACTGCTACAAGATGCTGGGCCCACATGGGAGGCCAAGGTTTGGTTTTCCAGCCAGGCAGGTGTGTGGTCCTAGCTAACTGGGCAGGGAGGGAGGGAGAGCCATGCAACGCCCACCCCTTCCCCACTACATCCCAGTACCCACAAAGGCCCTACCAGCTGACTGTAACAGCCCCATGGATGGCTCTGAAGCCCTGGATGGCAGCTGGGACAGGAGGATCACAATGCTGTGAGACTCTGTCAGAAGTCCCTGTCTATTCCCCCCACTCCGTTTTTTTTAAATTGATGGATGGCTGCCTCATAATGCCTGCAGCACACACTGAGCCTACAGGTCTCTGAGCCTGAGCCTCTAGTCTGGAGACTCCTGCTCAGACCTAAGTGTAAAGCGCATCTCCGTTAAATCATGTTTTCTTGGTTTCGGGCCATTCTCCTGACTCTTTTTGAGAGCTGTTTGGATTTCGTGTGATCATCTGAGGAATGAGTTCTCTCCTCGTTCGTGTCATCTGGAGCAGGATAAGCATGTTTCTTATCTTCATCCAAGAGGTAAAATGAAAAAGAGAAACAGCAGAAGACCACAGACAGTCCCAGGGACCAGACACTGCCCTCTAGGCTGGCATCTCGGCCAGAAGCACGAGGCTCAGCTCATCAGATCCTTCCCTCCCTCGCGGTGGACTGTACACAGCCGAGCCAAAATCAGTTCAGAGATGCAGGCAGGGCCAGAACCACCACTGGCAAATACACAGCCAGCCTCGGCTATAGGAGCAGGCAGGATACACCTGGATGCTCAGCCCAGGAGGCAGGTGGGAAGACAGGAGTGAAGGCAAAGCAGAAAAGCAGTCATGATCCGGGCTGGGAACCAGACGTTCATTGAGGTCTCCAGAGCCTGAGCCAGTGGGGAAATGGTTTACCCAGCATGTATAGGTAGGGACAGGGGAAATCAAGGTGGCGTAAGTCCTGGTGCTGGTGACATTGTGGAGGTAAAGTCCCAAGGCACAGGCAGTAGCTGTTCCTGTGGCTCCGTCTGAATACTGAACAGTGACTGTGGCTATTTGGAGACCCGGTGCTTGGGGTCAGCAAAGAGACGCTCCGAGAGGACCTGAGCCAGCTCCCCGCAGCACTGTTTCCTGGGCTCCCGGCTGAAAACCATCTCTTTACTAATCCACTCAATGGTCTTGCTTTGCACTGACCACAATGCAATTGTCAAAATCTTCACGCCCTCTGAATCGCTCCAGTTTCCCTGATTTCTTGAGGATGGCTGGCATACTTGGGTGGCACAGCTTCATTTTCTCAGTCCTGGCATGAACTGCATCGAGGTCCAGAAGTCAGTCTCATGAAAGATGCAAAAGGAAAGCCATCAACAGCCTGTCACCTCTCTCAGGCTCCAAGACCCCCGATGGCATTCTCTTCCTGTTTCCTCTTAGGTCACCTTCCACAAGGGGCCAGGGTGGACATGCAGTAGCTGCTACAGCGTCTGGCAACACCACGCTGCCTTCCGGCTCTCTTCTTGCTTCTAGTCTTCATTGTGGATTGCAGGTTAGTGACAGACCTCAGCCCCTCGGGGCTACAACCAGCCCCGCAGGGGTACCAGTGCCTGGGCTGCTGAGAAGTCAGCTGTGCTCAGCAGAAGCTGGGTCACTGCCTCCTTCCATCTCATGTATGAGTCCCTTGGTTGCCCTAGAAGGAACTCTGGGATCACCTCGCTGTGGTCTGTGGTCACCGTGGAGAAGCCTACCACAGCTGTGAAGCCATGCTCTGCCTCAGTGGCTTTTCACTTACGTAGCTAGTGTTTCCCAGAGTGTTTGCATGTGCTTTCCTGAAGCCCCCGGTGCACACCCAGCCCTCCTCAAATTGGTCTCTTAATGCAGGTCTTGGTGCCCCATTCACACACCCAGGGCGCCTGGGAGCACTGTGCAAGAAGCACGAGGTTTAGGATTGGCCAGACTAAACTCTCCCAGCTGCCCAAGAACCTCTCAGACCCCAGGCTCATGCAATATGGGGGTCATAACTGTCCCTACCTGACTGGGTGTTGTGAGGTTTGAGCAAGACGGGGCTGGGGCGCCCTGTGATCAGCACTATTATGCCCTTCCACAACTGAAAACTTCATCCTCATCTACCAAGTCCTCCTCCTTACCTCCTTCTGCCAAGAAGGGAAGTATGCAGGCTGTAGAAATTGTTTTGTTTTGTTTTGCTTTTCCAGGGTTGAGTCTCCCAAGCCATTTGGAAGCTAGGCCCTGCTGTCACCCATAGGGCTCTGAGCCTGCTCTGTGACCTGGCCCAGCCAAGTAGCATCTCACCCTGCACAGCCCAGTGGCAGCGGGAAGCCCAGCACAAACAGCTCTCCCCCCTCCCCTTTTCAGCCCTGCCTGGACACCCTCCCTGCACTTTCATGCTCAACATTTGACTTCCTGGCTGGCAGAGGCACTCCTCCATCCCCTCAGATTGGCTGCTCTAGAGACTGGCCCTCCACAAGCTCCCAGGGGATGTGTTCCCCTTCATGTTGCCGCCTCCAGTCCCCTCCAGGGACTCCATCTCGCTGTGCTCCCCTGGTGTCCTTGTGTGCATCCCCTCTCTGGGTTTTCTGCAGGTTGGGGTATTCTCCCTCCACACCCCACCCACAAACCCCCAGCCCTCACTCCCATCTGCACAAACCTAGAATGGCGAGCACAGTGCCACCCTTGAGCACCTCCATGGAGCCGGAGCAGACGAAGTAGAGGGCCTGGAGCGCATCCCCTTGGTGGATGAGATACTCGCCAGGCGTGCAGAAGGCGGGCCGCAGGGCCAGGGACAGCGCCCGCAGGCAGCCTCGGCTCGCTGCCTCGAACAGGGGCAGCTGCAGGACCTCCTTGTGCAGATGCATGGCGATGTCTGCACGCAGCTCGTCCGGGAGGCTCTGCAGCAGCTGCGGGTGGGCAGGCGGGGAGGGTGGGGTGGCAGAAGTGGAGGCAGCCTCCAGCCAGTCCCCTTCCACCCTGGTGAGCCTCAGGAGCAAGGGGAGGCGGAAGGCCTGGAGGCCTCCCGCGCAGCATCACTCCGCACAGGGTACAGTCAGCGGGAAACTGTTCACTCCCGTGCTGTGTCCCCTCCCCCCAGGTTTGGACATCACTGAGTGCAGAGCCCCTAGACCTGTTGAAGCTGAGAGGGGCCTCAAGTCTTTTTGGCTGCCCTCTGTCCCCACCAAGGACCAGTCGTGGGAGACCAAGGCTCTGCATTCCTCGTCCTCCACCCCGTGACTGATTACTTTAGGGGAGTGCAAATCCCTTGAGGGAGCAAGGCTAGAAGGGCCAGCCCTGGGCCTGCCGCACCTCGGTGGTGTCGATGCCATTGTTCACAGCCCAGGTGGCCTGGAAGTACTCCAGCATGCGCTGCTTGAGGGGCTTGGGGATTCGGTGGATGCGGATGTAGTCACGCAGGTCGCGGGTGCGGCTGTGGTACAGAAAGCGGCGGGCGTACATGCGCTGGATGATGGCCGTCACGTTCCCAAACACCACCGCGTGCATCAGGGCTGGGGGAGGGTGGTGAGAGCGGGTCACTATAGGACCAGCCTGGCCTGGCCCGGCCTGATACCATGCTGGATATCCGTGCTCTTCCCCCTTCCATCCCCACACCCTTCCAGGCAAGACAGGCAGGCTTTGTGTGCACAGTCCCTTCCAGTCCCAGCCTGCTGGTCCACGGACCGCCTAAAGCAGCAGAACCGCAGGACCCTGGAGGAGGTGAGAAAGGAGGGGATGCCTGAAGCCAGAACCCAGGGGTAGGCCAGAAGACAGGCCCGCGGGTCAGGCCTCACCACCGATGAGCATGGTGCAGATGGAGAAGATCTTCTCGGTGTCCGTGTTGGCGGACACATTGCCGAAGCCCACGCTGGTGAGGCTGCTGAGCGCGAAGTACAGGGAGGTGATGTAGGCACTGCGCAGCGACGGGCCGCCCAGGAGCTCCAGCCCTGTCCCATTGGCCTCGTTGCCATTGCTGCAGTTGTCGCTCCGGCCAGAGCTGTTCCCTCCAGCTGGGCTCCGGCCCACCAGGTAGTAGGGGGTCTCCAGTCTGCGGGCCAGTTCCTGCAGCCAGCCTGGAGGGGGAGTGGGAGAGCAGGCGACTCACTGGCAGGGGGCAGGGGACATGCAGTAGCAGATCCATCCTCATGGCTATCTGCCACTTTCCCTCTTCTCTGCCAGCCCAGCCAGCATACTTAGGGACCCCTGCTACCCTCTGCATACAGGCCCATGAGGAA